CTCAAGCCAACTTTATGCCAGCGCAAGGTTCATCTTCTCTTGTGGCTTGTCAGAACAATCCCACCACTAGGGGGCCAACCCAGAGTAACATGTTACAATAATATCTGCAGTCCATTGCTCTTCTTATGAGAACAGGACTTGAAGACTTGAATTTTAAGACCTGAATTTTTGCAGCCTGAATTTGTGAGGTTGAAAAATAATGTGTTCAAATATTACCTGACGAATAATAAAGATGTTTTTTTTAACAACTGAATATTCTGGAACCGTATTTTAGGAACATGAATGTGTGCAGTGAATTTTGGATGCTGGAATTTTGCTTTCAATCAAAATATACAAACCCAATGAACTGCAGAGGAAACTAATTCACGCATTGATATTGGTGTGTTTTGGTTTTTATTTTTATTTTATTTGTGTCAAACTGCTGGGCAGAAAAAAATTAATATTATTATTGTGATATGTTTTTAGTAAATTTATATAATTCAGCATGCCATTTTGCCTTGAGTACATTTGGCACTAATTTCTTATCATAAACAAGGGACTCATGAACAACTTTCATAAAACATAAAAACAGGTGTTGATCATCCAGGTAACGACACACATTTTTATGAATCAAGCATATGTAAACTGGTTAATTTGTGTAAATTCAGCTATTATTTTGTCTTGTGGACTATATGTAAACAAAATCCATTTTTATGATCACTTTTTAATTTTTTTTTTAGCAGATTCTGCCAGGCATATGTAAACTTATGACCTCAACTGTATGTTGCACCCCTACTTCTGATTAAGAACTACTAGCCAATTCTAATACAGGAGGCAGGACTATCATAGGGGAAGAGGTGAAATTTGTTGGAATAATAGTGTTCTTCAAGTTTACTGATGGATTGCAGGTCCAAGTTTTTGGATGTATACATCTATCTACAGATGTCCTGCATGACTGTGCATCTGTTTATTGTGATATCATCTTTGAAGCATTTGCCAAGCAAGCTTTGCTCCCTCTCCTGTCTAAAATCCTGGGTATACCACTGATTAAACAAGCTTATTCTTATCATAGAAATTATTTAGAATTTGACATTTTCCTTGTCTTTGGAAAAATTTGGTTTATGACAAGTTGCATAGTGCTTGCATACAACCCTAGAAAGCTATTACAAACTCATCTTATTACCTAGCATTTGTGACACCTGTTGTGTAACTGGATGCGGATACACAAAAGGTACACAGACAAGCTTGTGTAGCAGGGGGGTAGACACACATAAATGCCAGTCTACAACATCTGCAGACAAATCTGACGCTTCAGGAGAGAATTAGCTTCGGCTGCTGAAGCAAAGCTGGTCAGTCTGAACTGCAACATACATCCACATCCAAAGACCCACACATCCACATGCATCAAACACACACACACACACACACACACAAATCCAGTCCCTCCTGTGACGACTCCTCGTCATAGCCCAAAAGACAACTCCAAACACTTCAGCTCAACAATATTCTCCCAGCTCTGTCTCTCTCACACATCACACACAGAGAATCGCACACACGCATCATGCATGCTTTTCTCTCACGTTTTTTTTTTGTTCCCTCCTAGTTGCATGGTGAGGCCAGATGTCCAGGTTGACATAGCGCTTAAGGCGTTTGACTTGATAAAAAAAGCGGCAGGGCCGTGGGTAAAGGGGGATTAAAACAGGGCCCGAGGCGCTGCTGCTAGATTGAAAACATCCTGGCCTGCTTTGTATGGAGATTTGCATACATCGGCCCTGTGCAGCGCCGGCCCATCTGCTGGAGTGCATTGTCCCCAAACAACAAAGTGTGTTTAAATATTTCACATCTCCATCTACAGGGAGGGAGCGAGGCACACAGAGTGAGCAAGGGGAAGAGAAGAAAGAGAGGATGATTTGGCAGGTCTTTGAATGTGAATAGATCCCAAATGTGCATCAGTGCCTGAGTAAACACAACTCTTCACAGGCCAGGGTGAGGGAGAGCTCCGGATTTTTGTGTTTTTGCTTCGATATGAGGAGAGATGAATGACAGAAACAGGTAGTGGGAATGAAAAGCGTTTTTAACATACGTATAGTACATTGCACATTAGAAAGAACAGGCTTACTGGAGATGGCCAGATTTTTAAAAAATGTATAAACCTTTACCAAGCTGTCTGATATTTAAGTAAACACTATATAAATAAACACATACAGTATTAAAAGATGCTGCAAGTCAAGTATCTTTTATTTATACATGTACTGCAGAAGGTAATTATAAGGTGAACTAGAATAAACAAAGAATTAAAAACAATTAAAAAAAATATTTTTTTCTGTTTTGCTATGCAATTATCCATCCATCCATCCAATTATATTTATTTATAATTACGCACATATTGTCAAGTATTATTTTCTATCCATTGCTTTCAATAAACACATACTGGTACTTTGGTACAATAAATAAAATTAATATGACCTTCATCTACTATCCTGAAAAAAACTAAAAACCAAATATGATCACTACAGTTATAGCACTATCCTCCTTATCTTTATATCAGCAGTGCAAATAGAGCACCAATACACACGTTGTATATTTTAAGTGGCCTCCGTGTACAGAAACATAAAATCTGTTTTACAAACTGTATCAAGATTCACTGCATTGGCATTAAGGAGCTGATATTAATTCATCCCAAAGCCCAAGTCTCTCTTTATAGTATTAATTTCCTAACTCCAACTGGATATGACATTAAAGCCATTGTAAAACAAGATAATTACTGCAGTGTACTCATCAGTAGCCCATGAGCTAAAGACATAAAACTTAGCAGATAGAGATAGAGAGAACGTACTGTAAGAGGACGAGGTGGAGGAGGAGGAGGAGAGAAGGATATTAAAAATGGTATGAAACATGATCTGATGACAGCCTGTGTGTAATCGAAAGTGACCTTGTCTTGTCGGTGGTAATAGCAAGGCGAGTGATGGTAGAACGAGTGTACCTCTTTCCTCTAATGAGCATTTGCCTGCTAAACTCAACCTCCAGGGCAGGACTGCCTGTTAGGGCAATTCAAAAAGTCACCAGTGTTTTCACAGCTTAGCTCTAACATGGTACTCAATTCAAGCTCAACGAATAAAGTAATTTTCTGCGAATATTTTGCAGATATTCTCCAACAGCAGCTCTGTTTAAGGTACAAGTCAGTGATGGACGAGTGGGCCGACGTCCTGGCACCATCCCCAATGCCAATCTCACACCAAATGCGCGCACACACGTACAGCGGAGATGGACGTTGGAAAAGTGTGGACTGCACGGGGGAGGATTTTTGGAACACAAAGCCTGGTCAAGCTGTCTGTTCAATAAGACGTCCAAGAACACAGAAATACAGAGAAAATTCCTAACTGCCATCATGACAGGCCATCAGGAGCTACACGATTCAGCAGAGGAAATGCACTTTTTGGGTGCTTTTTTATATATATGTAATTAGAAGAGAAGTGTGTACTTTGTTGACAAGATGAGTGCATTTGTTGTAACACAAAGCCAACGAGTGATTCCAGAATTAAGATACACATTAACCTCTGGTAACCTGGATTAACTGCAACAGAGGACCATTATTTAAAAGCCATTACATGTTTTTATTGAGGGTGGAAATAGAGAGAGAGAGAGAGAGAGAGAGAGAGAGAGAGAAGTGTAATGAATCTGTGTTACGCTGACTAAGTGACTTGGACTCTGGCTGTCCGAAATATCTAAGAGGCAACACAATCAGACTAATGGTGTCCATTAGTTAACCGTCCAAATGTTCAGCCTTTGACTTTAAGATTAAAAAATAAATAAATATGGTGCACCGAGCAGAGTAATTAAACCAATCCCCTTAAATCACTGCACATTTGAGTGTATTTAACATCTCTCCTGTTAAATGTCACTTTGCTGATTAAATCATCTAGGACACTAAGTTGGCGTTCGGTGTGTTTATGTGTGTGAGTGCATACATTTGGCTGTACGCCCCCTAATAATTTTGTCCCTGTTTTATGATTCACAATAATGTACACAAGCGTAGGCGACTCTACAGGCAACACATACACCCCCACCACACACACACACACACACACACACACAGTCAGTCTGAGCAGGACACTAGAGGCTGTCAGTAGGAGGCCTGAGCTGATGGACATTCTGGTTATGCAATGCAGTGATCGCAGCCATGAGAGACAGGTGGCCCACCACACTGTGTGTAGGTGTGCGTGAGAGAGTGGGGGGTGACAGAAAGAGAGAAAGATAGAGAGACAGTGGGTAGAAAGATAAGTAGGATGGACTGACCATGTAAAGAAAAGTATGACTATGATAGTGTCCTCAGTAGATACAGACATATGGGTAATTAAACATCATTAAACTCAGCCTTGATCGTGACATCTGCACAAATGTTCATCTGTAAAATTGCTACAGCGCAGTCATTTATAACAGATTGAAAATTGTGGCTGTCTTCTGAGTGTCCACCTCATAGTAGTAAGGTCATTAATATCAGACTGCAGGGACATTCGCTTTTTAAAGTCCCTATGAAATGACTTGAGAGATATGCTGATTCATGACCTAGGGAGCTGATTGAGATGCACCCTTAATTCCTTTTGAAACATGAAGTCAGTGTGACAGCATGTTATAGTGCTTGACTGATTATACTAAAGCCAATAGTGTTCGAAATGTACTGCAAGCATGCAAATCTAACCAAATTGCCAGTAGCTTAGTGAACTAGATACATATAGAGAACATTGAAGAGTTTAGCAAGAGCCTTCTTTTTTCCAAGAAATTCTGACCACCACCGTAGTCTGAGGCAGCAACAGATTCCAGCAGTGAACAGTCCCAAACTGGTAAAACACTCCTCTGAGAAGTTCTAGTCACTTATCTGCCAACTCACACAAATTCCACCCAATTCGCAATATATGATCTCCAGCCATTCATTCTCAGTCAAGAGATGGCGACTAGTGTACAAGGAGACACATGTCCAAAAATGCACTGCGAACAAGTAAAAGATTGTTAGCAGCAAATATGGCAGTGGAGTCTCAGTGGTTAAAGGCTCTGTGTTGCTGATCAGAAGGTCGTGAGTTCAAGCCCCTTCACTGCCAAGCTACCACTGTTGGGTCCTTGGGCAAGGCCCTTAACCCTCACTTGCTCAGTTGTATAAATGAGACAAATGTAAATGTAAATATGGTTTGGGTGCATCTCAATCAACTCCCTAAGTCGTGAATCAGTATATCATGAACACGAGCTCAGTTACTCCTAAGGACACTGTCTAACTACACCTTGGGATACTGATGACTCAATTTCCGGCGATTCTGACCACATACTTCTGTTGTAAAATGTCACTACTGGCATTTATCAACAACAGAGGGAGGGCATTCAATAAAAATGGTGATAAAATAAGTGTTAAGTTCTTGTCTGATACTAATCAGAACAAAAATTTGGACTGCAGTGAATGATTCCACCTCGTCTGGGCCCAGGAAGAAGTCACACTGACATCATGTTCAGATAGTTTAATGCTCACAAAGCACAGCATATATACCCATTTTATTGATATATTGATAAAGAATGATAAATGTCGATTGGAACAGGTCACAGATACTAAAACACCTATTCTACCAGATTATAAGAAAAAGTGCCGAGAGAGAAGGAGGACAAAGGTCGCACGCAATTAGGTGCTCGCAAAACAACACATTTCAAGAACAGGAAACCATTCTATCTGTCCAGAAACCTTGTGACACCGACTAGAAGCCTTCAGAAGTGAGACATAGAGCTCATGCTATAAAAATGTTTCAGTACAGAAAATTACTACATGCACCATGTTTTAAATTTTCCATCTTTCCAAATTTTCCCACATGACGTGAATGCAGCATATCTCTGTTCTTGGCTACATGCTGCTTGCTAGGCTTTGTTAGCAGACCAAGTTAGAGTTGCAACTGCCCTGTCTCTTAGTTTGACCCCTGTGTCTGTGGTTGACAGGTCTCAGGAAATTTTAAATACAAAGTAGATATCAAAAACTGCACAAAATTACTCTAACCTAGCCCAAAGATTTTGGGAAATAAAAAGATGAGATGCACTTCCTCCACATGTGTGGGAAACAAATTCACTGAAGTGCGCAGAGATTTTTTGTAATATACCTTTTTTTTTAAAAATCACTTTACAACCATTGTACACTCCATAATTCCCCTTAACCCTCTTGCAATCTTTGCAATACATCTTACAACAGAAATAGTTCTGTACATCATAAATTATGTCTTTACTTCACTTTCCCTTTATTTACCTTAGCCAGTGTTTTTGGAAATTGAATAGATTAAATTTTGACTTGCTTAAAAACAACATCTAGGTAGCCGAAGAATATTTTTACACTAGCCCCAAAAAATGCCACCCACATTGTTGTTCCAATTTGAGGTTTAAAAAAGCAAACCCTGGCAACTCTGTCTGATTATATTTAACAACAAGGCCTCATACAAACACACACTGTCCAACTGTTTAATAGGGTAATGCTGGCTTATAGTACTTCCTGTAACCCGACTGCAAACATGCCTTATGCATTAGCCACTAGTTTAGACTTTGTGGGACGTGAATCTGGCACTGTTGTTTCCATGATTAAGAGATGAGAAACAGCCTCATATATCTGACATTAACAGCAAGGGGGAGGTGGAAGGACAGAAATTGAATATTCCAGATTTGTTTATGCTCTGACTCAAAAACAGTGCATCCAGATAAAGACTTTGAATGTTTGCACTGCTTTGGTAATGTTCTTTTTCTTAGTCCATGGATATTAGTGTGAATAGACGTTATTATCATGAGGTGTGACCAGCAGTAATGCGTTTACACCTTGCGGCCACACTTGAAGTTTAAAGTGTAAAGAAGACAAGAAGCAACTAACTGTAATGCAGTAAATGTACTGTAATACATTACCAAGTGTTAACCGGAACAAATTTAAACATTTACCATGAGGACAGAAGAGAAAATTGATGAATAGTGGCTGGTCAGCAGTGAGACAATACTGCCAGGTTTCAAACTGGATAGCAACGATATGTTGACGAGCAAGGTCCTACGCTGGCAGAAGTTGGATGCATCAAACAACTTTAATACACACAATTACCGCAAAGAACTCCAAAACATATACTTAGGTTTTAAGTCTAGAAACGCCTCCATATACTGGACATTGGTGTTCCTTTGTTGTTTTTCCTGTTTACAAGTATCCTAACTTAAAACTCACTGATTAATGTTTTTTGGCTTTCCATTTTCCCCCCTAAATCTGCTGCCAGTTCCTTTCTTGTCGTTGACATTATCGTACCACCTTCATACAGCTATGCAGCTAGTCATGCGACTGTGATCTCTGACTTTTCCAAGACAGGGCATACAAACTTATATATACAAGTGTTCACACACTCAGACACATACTGTATATCAAGCAAACACACATATACACATATACACACATCCATGTGCACACTCACATTTATGAACAAACCTAGAAATCAAACATGAATATGAACGAGCACACGCAGACACAAGACATGCACTCCTGTATTTGACTGTTCCCACAGGCAGGCAATGTGAAATATGAGCGGTAAACATTTGTATGGACAGATGTGGATTAATGTTCATCTTTCCCTCATGTAGGAGATTAAAGCTGATTTAGTGCTAACAGGGTTTAGGCTTCTATGATTACACACACAGACAGGAGGGAGGAGGGCTTGACTAGAAAACTGGTGGAAAGGTAAGTTGGAAAGAACAAATGGATCTGGAATATACCATTTGTGTGGTAAAATGAGATTATACAACAGAAAGGCTGTATAGAATTCAGGTCCATGAGTGGACCATTCTGTGGCAGACAAGGGGTGGGGGGCATTAGTGGTGTAAGAGTGTCCATGTCTGAGTGTGTGTGCGCATTTGTGCATGTGTGTGCTTCTGTTTAAGGGGGTGTGATAGTGCTACAGGAGCTTGGCTGCATTTGCAGTTGATAACGAACATTTAATGCAAGTCTGGAAAATTGAATACGGTCACCATCTGCTCTGTGCCCGACTGCTTTCTGAGGACGAATCTACAGCCAAGCAGGGAAGAGAGAGAGAGAGAGAGAGAGAGATTCATCATAATCTTGGGATCATCACAGCCAGCTCCGATAGCCTTATTTTTCCTTGGAACTAATTTGGCCATCCTTAACAATTAATTTAACAAACAAGCCCTTTTGTTTTTTTTTATTTTCCTTCAATGAAAAAAATACAATATAAGCAATAAGATTCATAAAACATCCATGAAATAAGTAAATTACCTAATCTTTCAAAATGCAAATTCAGATCCCCCCTCCCCCATACAATGTAAAGCGATGAGTGCCTAGAAAAGAGATATATAAATCTAATGAATTATTATTATTATTATTATTATTATTATTATTATTATTATTACAGTTCCCCGTCTGCATGAATGATCTGTTGCAGAGGAGGTTTGATGAGTTACTTTCACACATACATTGCTTAAAAACGTCAGGCACAATATATAGATCAGATAAGAAGTAATTCAAGGAAAGACAATGTGATGAACTTGATACCTTGATCTGTTTCTGTGTGTGTGTGCATGTGTGTGTTTGTGTGTGTGTGTGTGTGTGTGTGTGTGTGTGTGTGTGTGTGAGAGAGAGAGAGAGAGAGAGAGAGAAGCTGATACCTTGATCTCCACACATTTTGCACCTCTCCAAGTTCTCAGCAACACCCAAATAAATCACGCATATCACTTCCAACTAATGAGAAGCCACTTTGGCAGCAAGTTTTTCTCAGTTTCCACCCATGTCCATAAAATCTGCATCTCTTCCTTAAAAGACTTTTACATTTTTAAAACACCCCAGTTAAAATAGCAGTGTTTGTGACGTAACAAAATAATGTCAAGATACATCATTTCAGATCTTTTCCCACCTTTAATGGGATTTAGCAACCAACAAAATTCAACTCAAAAACCAACATAAATGTTTTCTGGGGAAAAATGGAAAAACGTTTTGCTTGTAATACAGCACTCTATGTTTTTGGGTAATAGTCTACCAATTTAGCACATCTTGATTTAATCATTTTATTCCATTCTTCCTTGCATAAATGCTCCCCATCTACTAAATTGCGAAGGGATCTCCGGTAAACAGCCCTCTTCAAACCATTCCACAAGTTATTTTAGATCTAGGGCCTGACTGGGCCATTCCAAAACAATGATATTTTTTTCTTTTGAAGCCATTCCTTTGTTGGCTTGGATTTGTGCTATGAGTTGTTATCATGCTGGAAGGTGAAATTTTTCTTCATCTTCAGCTGTCTAACAAAGGCCTGCAGATTTTGTACCAAAATAGATTTGTATTTAGAGATATCTATGATTCCCCCTATATTGATTAGAGTCCCAATCCCAGCTGAAGAGAAGCAGCTCTATAGCATGGTGCTGCCACCATCATGCTTCACCATGGATATGGTGTTTTCCAGGTGTCTTGTAATTGCACCAGACGTCTTTTTGAATCATACCTCAAAACATTCTCTTTTTTTTCTAACCAGACTGTAGCAAATTTTGCCACATGTTTTTGGATGATTTAAGTGGGCTTGTATGTTGTTTTTTGGTGAGAAAGGGCTTCCATCTAGCCACCCTGTCCCATAACTCAGACATGTGACAAATATTTGAGATTTGACAACTCCTTTAATGTTTCTGTAGGTCTCTTGCAGCCTCCCTGATAAGTTTTCTTCTTGTCCTTTCATCTTAGTAATGTCACTGTGATGCTCCATTTTCTCCACTTGATGATGGCCTTCACAGTGTTCATGTAATGTTTTGAAAATTCTTGTGTAACCCTCTCCTGATAAATACCTTTTGATAATGAAATCCCATTCACACTGCATAAGCTCTTTCTCTATAAAGGTTTCAGCAGTTGTAAATCAGTTTTTTTTTCCAGCTGATTTTTTATTGCTTGCTGTATCACATTAAAGGTGGAAAAATATCTTTGGTTGTGTAGACTTTTTACCTCCACTGTGTATATAGAGAAAGCAACCATTTTGTCTGTATTAATGAGGTTTATGGAAAAGGTTCTTACAACTTATAATTTTATGTGTGCATTGCATTTCATAATTAAATCTATCTCAAA